ATAAGCATAAATTCAAAACCATACCTGAGCTTTCGATTGCTCAATTCTGAGTCAGTGTCTTAGGATCCTTGAGAGAGTTTCTGAAAATCTGGCTCTCAACCCATGTGTAGCAATTGCTTGATGTCCTTTGCCCAGTTAAAACACATCTGTTATCCGCATTGGTCACAAAACATGCATCCTTTGTAAATTTCACCTCCATGCCATTATCGCATAGTTGACTTATGCTGATCAAATTAGCCTTTAAGCCCTGTACGACCTTGACATCCATTAGCTTGGATACTCCACCACATTCCAGAGTTCCTTTACCAATGATCTTCCCTTGTTTTCCATCTCCGAATGTGACATTGTCACTTGTCAAACCTACTTCAAAATCTGTCAACAGCTTCTGACGTCCTGTCATGTGTCTTGAACACCCGCTATCCAAATACCAGACACCATCTCCACTCGTTTGTTCAGACGTACAGGCAACATTGCATGACACATCGGATTTACGAATCCACCTATGATTCTTCGAAGGATGAGACATATAAGAGTGATTCAAGTTCGAATGAACGTACCAACTAGACTTCCTTTTCTGTCGTAGGTGATAACAATTCCTTCGAATATGTCCTCTCTTCCCACAGTAATAGCAGCTTCTATGCTCTTTTTGCTTTTGAGAGGTTCGCAGATCCATTTTAACTCTTGGAGTATTTTTGACAGCGCCAAAAGTACTTCGTACTAAGTCAGGTACTTGTCGTTCAAGATTTCCTCCAGACACAAATGTTGGGTGATATTGCTCCTTTCCCGCATATCCAAGCCCCGATTGATCTCGTGCACTCCTTCCCTGTCCAAGTAGATGATCCAACTTACCAGTTCCACTTCCAAGAAGATGAAGATTTTTCTTGGTCTCTTCAATTTGACATCTCATGAGCGACGCTTCTTCTTCTTTTTGGGACAATTGATGTTGAGTAGATGTCAGTTGGATCTGAGTATTTTTGAGTTCCTTCTCCAGCCGCTTCTTCTCATCCAACAGATATCTATTCATTCGAACGAGTTTGGTCATCTCGTTGAACAAGTCATCCTCAGTTACCTCTTCATCACTTGAATCATCTTCCAAAGTTTCTTCTCCTTCTTCAATGATTCCAAAGAATGCAATAGAGTTAGAAACTTCTTCATCGTCACTGTTTAACTCGGTTTCCTCCTTCTCTTGAGTGGTATATGATTTTCCCTTCTTCTGGTCATATTTCATCCTTGTATGCCCAAATCCCTTGCATTCATAGTTTGTTGAGTCGAACATTGCATGTCTTCCAAAAGCTTGCATCTCTTTGTATCCATCCATCGTATGAAGCTGAATCGTACACCGATATGAGAGGAAAAATTTCCTACGATCAGTGACCTGCTCTGATACCAATTGAAAAAGTAAACTCACACGATATTGCTTTCAAAAACTTCCCAACTGATTCTATTCATTTGTAAAGAAAATGAATTTCAACTCTTTTTTGTTCGAGCCTAATCCATCCCAAGAACACAACTCCCCCTGAGTTTGTTCCCCCCTTACAACATGAATTCTATCAGCTCATACACTATGTGTGCCTCACACACCCCGTGTAACCCTAGACTCGTCTAGGCCCTTTGAGCGGTTCGCCTGTTATTTGAAGGCTCCCCCTCAGATACACTTCACTCTATCTCAAGTATCACTCACCCGTGTTTCCCATACAAATATGTTTATGCCCAAAGCTTTCACGACTCAAAGACTCTCTCTCTCCTTGGGTGATCTCTTCTATTGTGCACGACTCTGTATTTATGCTCAACCTCCTACATAGGGTTTCCATTTCGTTTCATCATATTTGTTTTTCCTTTTCTTTATCTTCATTCCTTTTGCTTACTCTTTCCATTTTTCTTCAATGACATGTTTCCTTTTCTCTTGCAAGTCATTCTTTTGCTGGTTGTTCCTTCCCTTTCTTTATATTGGCATGTTTCTCTTTTTATCTGAGATCTTCTAGATGTTGAATCTTCTCTTGGTGCTCTTTCCTTGCATTAACATTTTCTATAATTATTCTTACAATTTCATATGATCGTTTATAAAGAACGAATAAACAAACTTTGGCATTTAAATATTGGTGGACAGTTGAACTTGTATGGACTTTAGTCCATTTTATACATAATTCAATATAAACGGTCACAAACCCTTTTTTCCTATATGTTAAAATTAAAATGCGGAATTACATTAGAAAAATAAAATAGAAAATGAAAAATACCGTGGGCCCTCTGTCGGTCCAATTCCGCTAGTCACGCAATAACAATCACCCAACCATATAACCAAACCCCTCTTTTTCCATTTATCTCCGCCTTTTTCTTTTTTTTTCTACTTTTTATATTTTATTTTAATGATTTTCTTGCATATTTTTATTATTATTATTCCTCTTCTTCAATCGTTTTCAGTGGTTAATGTCTTTAATTATATCTGAAAAAGAGGCGTACCAACTCTCTCTCCCATCGAAATTTCTAAACAATAAATGTGGTTTGAAATTTTTAGGTTTTCATGGAAAATTAAATATTGATATCTCTCATTTTCCAAGTACATATTCATTGTTCAATATAAAATTTGCTAGTCAATATGTTACATTGTCTTAAGTCTTGTTTTAGATTTGGGATACCGCACTTAGAATTTGCTTGATTGGCGCATGCATTCGAGGGTAGATCCATATTAATATTTAAGAGATATTTGATTTCATTAAACAATAATACAATCTATTATTCATAGTTGGTTTATATAAAATATCACTGATAAAATGTGAAATGCTTTTATTATTAAATTTTGAGATATGTTTGTGTATCCATCTCATTATTTTAATTTTATTGTTTTTTTCAATAACAAATTTCCTAGATGTACTACTTTTTACAACGACCCACCGAATTTATCTATTTTTTTGGTAAATCGACCTACCGAAATTATTTTCCAAAGTATCCAAACGTTACTTTTTTCTCTGTTACACATTAATATGTCGTAAAATAATCCAATATTAGACCACATAATACATATAATCTTGTTTCATTGTCATCCAATACCATAATATAATATCAATCCTTGTAATACATTGGAAGAAACAACTTATAAAAAAAATGAATTCAATTTTTTTTTAATAAAAATATATGTATAACAAATGGAGGTGGATATCTCTCAAGGAATAATAAACATACAAAGTACAAACCCTAAAAGACAGTGGTCACATGCTTTTTTTTGCCTTGTCTATGCATCTATATATGCCCTCTCCAAGTTGTTTTATATATGTTTCCTGCTAATCTCCTCTTAAGAGAGTTTATGTCATATTTTTGTTGAATGTTTTTGTTTTTTAGCAATAATTCTTAAAGATTTTTAAGATGATTAATCTTTAATATTGTATTTAGTAGGATAAATATGGTGCTATAATCATGGCAGAGTACAAACAAAATGTGATATAAATGATTTTAATTAAGTAAGATAAAATCACCAAAGCATATTTCATGTCATATAAGCTTTAGTGATATTTTCTCTGAAGAATCAAATTATAATCAATTTGGGTTTTGCTTGAAAGAAAGGAGAAGCGAGAGGTTTTTGGAGACAGAAAAACAGTGATTTTCACAAATAATTAGAAATATAATATTATTTTTTATTTTCTAAAATTTGCTTTATCAAAATATTAATTACCATTATTCATTAACTAATCCTCTATAGGTGAAAAAAGGTGAGCTACCTCTTTGAAAGTCACAATGAGCCATTATCACCAAAAAAAAAAACTTAGAATTATTTTTAAAATAAAAACAAAAAACAATCAAAGGACTTCATCTATATAAACACTCCCTCCACTCGCAATCTCAACACAATATTCGATTGTTCACCTTTTATCACAAAGACCCATATACATCAATGGCTTCCTTCACTCGAAGCTTCTTCTTCTTCTTCATCACAATCTCAACACTTCTTCTCTCCACGCAAATCCATGCAAGAGAGAGCTATTTCTTTCACAAGTTCCAAAGAGACAATGCCCACGACAAAAACCCTAGCTTTGTCCCTCTCGAGGCGAATCAGAAGACTACATCAGTGGACGTACTTCCCGAGAAAGAGGAAGAACAACAAGGGTACGGTTTGTACGGCCACCAGACAACATACGACAACAATGAAGAGAATCCCAACTACGAGCCTTACAACGCTCAAGGCCTTAGCCAAAACGAGGAATATTCCTACTCGAAAGACAAGGAGAATTACAACAACAACAATGGCAAGAACTATAACAGCTACAACTCAAATGGGTACGGAGGAGAAAGATCATCAGAGTACAACAGTTACAACAACAACAACGCGGAGAGACAAGGGATGAGTGATACGAGGTTCATGGAGAACGGTAAGTACTATTACGACGTTAACGACGAGAACAATCACGGTGACTTGTACAAAAAGCATTACAGTCGAAACCCGAGTTACGCAGTGAGTAATTACGACCGGTTTGGACAAAACAACGGTGAACGGAACAGCTTCCAGGATCCGTACAACTCCAAGTGGGAGAAGAACATGATGATGAATGAACAAGGGCAAGAGGAAGAATTCGGAGAAGAGCAACAAGACGATCAGTTTGTACCATGAAGACATTAATATTAATGGCCATGCATTGTTCAGTCCATTATTAATTAAGACATATATATGAAACAGTTAGTATCATTTTCAGTTATGGTGGGTGATTTATATATCTATATATCAATCTACATTTATAATTTTTCATTATGATGAGTTTGCTTTTTTGGGGCGATTTGATTGCATATATGGAGTACAATATGCCTTTGGGAAAGACAGTAATGGACTAATGGTGCTTTGTTTAACTTGTGTCAATTTCTAAAATATTCCATATGCATCACTATATCCTTTTTTTTCAATTGTTTTATTTTAAAAGTCAATGATCATTCTAAAAAAAATGATATGAAATTGATATTCATATGAATTTAGCTGCCCTAACAGCATCAAACCTCAACAAAACAATTCACGTTGTACCAACATCTCCATAAAACTCTATATGTAACTCCAAAAATCGTTTCTCTAAACGCTTATTGAAAGTTGAAACACGAAGTCTTACAAAAAATTCATAGTACTTTTAATATTTTTTCCGTGGTCACCGCCAACATAATTGATATAATGTAGACCCATTAGTTTGATTTATATTTAATATCAATCTACTATATAGTATAATAATGAGATCAATCTTTTAGGTGAAATGAGATCCAAGAGAACAAGAGTGACAAGAAAGAAGACAAAAGATACTTCAAAGTCAAACTCCCCACTCTTGACGAAGAAGAGTCAACCCGTCAATCACGGAGAGACTCGAGCCTCGAGGTTCTCCCTTTTCTTTTCTTCATTTTATATTTCTATAAATAAAACGAATGTTATATATTTTGGAATTTTGGAAGCTATTGATATTTTAAAATGCGGAAGTCCTCACATTTTTGTATTTTGTATTTGTTTAACCTTTCATATCCGATATTTTTGGACATTTTGTTAAAAAAATAAAATGGATTGGTTTGGATTAAGTTATCTAGTTCATCAACAGTTTTTTGTTTTTGAGTTCGCACCATCCTATCGTATAGTCTTTGCTATAGAATTAATTAATTATATTGATGACTTTTTTTAACTCTTGAAATGTTTAAATTAGAGTATTTATTGTTTAATTGCATGAATATAAAAAGATCATAGCACAATTATTATGTTTTTCTTTAGAAAAAACTTATGCACGTGGTTTAAATTTTTTTATTTTGATTGATTTAGCTAGTTTGTAAAAAATTTCAAAACATAATTTAAATTATTTTTTTATAATTAAAAGGGATACTAAACCCAAAATTGGATGGCTCTCAGCTAATAAATTAAGGATGAAGTAAAATTCATTTCCATTCGAATTTTCAGTAGGAGGGGTCTACCCTTTGGGGTCATTTAACATTTGTTTAACCTCCCACATCCATATTTTTTTGACATTTTAATTAGGGTTTAAAGGTTGATTTAAGATCATCAAGAATTTGTTATTGTTGAGTTTAGATCTGTCTACTTAATTTCATAGAACAACTGAAATAATCAACTCTAATCCAAATCGCCTAACTCATTAATCAAACGAGTTGATTTAAGAGTTCCATTAATTTACAAAGAACCCTTAATTTTATCCAACAATTTTTTTTTTTCCACTAAATCGTAAAATGTCTGCAGATGAACAATAACACGTAAGCTTTCGGTACGAGCACTTGTATGGTATAGTTCCCTCCCAAGCTTCAAAACCCTAAACCCCTGATGTCAAAATTTCCTTTTGCCCTTTCTACAAAAAATCAGAGGGGAAAAAATAACAAATCAGAAGCTTCAATGTCCGCCGCCAGATCCGTTCTCCGCTCCGCCGCAGGCCGCGTCTCCGCCGCTGCGTCGAGATTCTCCGCCGGTCCGAAGCCTTGTCCGGCGTCGGCGCGGTCGACGTTTCGGATATCCAAACAGAGCCCACTATCTCATCGCATTTTCAGGTGAAAATTTCAAACCCAGAAAGCCATCTCTGGAGAGTCTGAGAGTGTAATCATGTCGCAGCTCATTGATTGAATCCTCGATTCTGATTTTTCTGGTGGGGATTTGTTTTGGGTTGAAATGGAAGATGTCCGGTGGAAATGAGCTGCTGCCTGGAGACGATGATGCCGTACCACACGGCCACTGCGTCTGCTTTGCTCGATTCGATGCTCTCTGTTTCTCGCCGCTCTTGCTGGACCCTCGAAGGTACTTTCCCGCGCTTTCTTCTTCTCCTCCTTTGCTGTTTCCGTGGTGACACTCTTAAATTTGTTGTCTGATTGTTCTTCCAAGAATTAAGCTATGGTCTTAGTGATAAATGATAATCACGTTAGGATTGAACGCTGCAAATAGTGAAATGATTGAAACAAAGTTGGTTCCTTTTATATGTGTTATGAAATTTTCGCAACCCCTGTTGAAACATCATAACGAGTGGATCCCTGGTTGAATTTGCTTTCAGAGTTGGGTTTTCGATCAATCCTTAATACATAGATCGGCGGCAACTTACCATTTGTGAAATACTTGAAACTATAGTGATAATTTGGGTTTTGTTGGGTATAGGTTAGCCATGAATCATGAGCTACTGTGGTATGCTATTCTTGTCTATTGCTTGGTCTGGCTTTGTAGCATGTGCTTGTGGATCTCTGCGTATATAATTCTTTTAGGTTCGGCTTACAGTTGCTGTATGATGCATATGTTGTTGGCCTTATATGGTCAAACTTGTTTTCGTTTTGCCCTTTTCGGCACCTTTGGAAGTAAAAGTTAGTAGACTAGAAATCTAGAAGCAAATGAGAGTTTGATGATTAGCAATGTTTGGTATTTATCAAGCATTTCCTTTAGTAAATCTACAATTTTTCTATTTTTTTTTGTTCTTTTGTGATTTGTTTGAGCCAAGCTGTTGTCACAATACCTGGATGTGTATTGACATCCTTGTGCACTTAAAAACTTTAGTGCTTTTAGTGATATTTAATCTAAATTCCCTAAACACTCAGTGTGCCGGCTTCTGAATTCTCTACGTCTCCTACTATTACCCTAAAAGCTGAAAAGCACAGCTTTTTCATGTGATATTTTTGCATGTCTTCAGCCAAATATCCAGTATCTTGCATACAATGGGAAGAATCAAAATTTTTCCTTTGTAGTAGGGCAAGCCAAATGATCAACCAACAAGAATGATGTGAGTCATTTATCCTTGTTTCTGGATATAGGTCCTCAAATCAAACACAGAAACTTAGGTTTGGAATTAGGACAGTCCTTAGGCGCTCTTTTAAAGATACCTACTACCATTGTCACCAGAAATAAAAAAAACTCGTGATTATACTGATAGGAATCATCCATAATTGGCCCAATTAAATTGTAAAGACCATGGGTAGAACCCACCCAAAAAACTAGCTTGTTGTGGAGGGTCATAGCCTTATAAAGACTCAATTGTTTCCACATATGGTTGATGTGGGACTCAAACAATATTGCCTTTAGCCAACAATGACCACAACGTTGGCGGCTACTCGATCGATGGCCTTGTACTCCTCTCTTGATCGTTCCTCTCCTGCCACGTCGTTTGCATGTCCAAGGATCGATTGATCTAATACTGATTGATAGAACCCACCCATAATGGATCCAATTAAATACCAAAAGCTATGGATAGAACTCACTCAAAAAACTAGTTTGTTTTGGGGGGGGGGGAGGGAGT